CCCGAGACATGAGAAGCCGTCAAACGTTTGTGCCAAAAACAAAAAAAAAAAAAAACAAAAAAAATTCAACTGGCAACTGGCAACAGGATGCTGCGAAATTCGCAGTTAACTGCGGTTATTGATCTTGAGATCGGAGTTCACTGAGCAACCATTCACTTGGCTTGAATAATTGCATATGATGTGCATATCATGAATACGACCAGAGGAAACTTGAAAAGGGAAGAGCTGAAGAACTGCAATAACAAGTATTGTAACTAGATAGAGATATTTGATTCAAGAAAGGAACAAAATAAATTAAGGCTGCTTTAGAGTTTACTCGAATTAAAAACTATTTAGTATAAAGGAGGTTTAATATAACTCCAAGAGAAAATGTGCATATCATGAATACTGCTGGGGAAATCTTGAATATGGCTGAGAGCTGGAGAACTTCAAGAACAGGTATTGTAACTAGATAGAAATTTTTGATTAAACCACGTGGACTGATATCATATATATTACAAATATATACCCAAAAAGAGGCTCAAAATAAATGAAGGTCTGCTTTAGACAACAATCCTTCTAATTGATTTGTATATTATAAATATTGCTGGGGAAACGTTTTCTGGAAATTTGACAAAATAGATATGAGAACTTTTCAGAGTTCGGAGTACAGAATTATTGATATATATAAATTATTTTATATATATATTACATTTTATATTATATTATATAATTCGAACTGCAAATTGAAGTGGGTTAACTTGAAAATAATATTATGAAACTACGCTCAAGAGCTAAACGAACGCAAGTCTGAGTTGCTTATAGAAAAACTATTCCAGGGCAAGAAAAGATATGAAAACTTTACAAATTGTAACGTAAATAATGAAATTAACGATAAATGCAATTAAAGTTTGCCCTGACTAATTGATATCACTGCAATTTGTGCGGCAAATTTTCCTTGGGTTGAAGCACAACGCAGTCAAATGCAACCAGATGAGCCTGCGTGCCTTTCGTGTCTGCGCGTCGGACCAGCAAAGCAGAAGTCGCCGGTTCAAACAATTAGTTTTAAATTATTCTTGGGTCCAACTACAACGCAGTCAACAAGCAACTAACTTGATGAATGTCAGAAGCCTGCGTGGCTAAGGTCTCTGCGCGTCGGACTAGCAAGAGTGGTTCAAACAGCAAATTTTCATTTTAATATTTGTTAAGCAAACACATTTAAATTATATAAGAAAAGAGAGGTATTTTTTTAATAAATTAAACCAAAAGTTTTTTCTTTTGTGCAATCAAGGCAAGACAAGCTAAATAAATTAGGGCGAATGCAAAGACGTGTGTTGGCAATTGGAGCGGCTTTGTCTGAAGTCTGAAGTCTGAAGTTGGCGCGAATTACACAAACAATTTCGGACTTGCATTGTTTAGCATACAACATTTGAACATGGTCACTTGGGCTAATTTCATCAGCATCTGAATAGACATTCGGGCAATAGGAACTGCATTTAGGAATAGTTGGGCCAGAGAAATATTTGATTAGGCTTGAACTATAAGGAAAGTAATATAGAAAACTATTAATCAGATGAAAGTCATAGTGAATTTACTGGGAATGTATATCATTGCCTGCTTATATATGGCCATAATAATATAATACCAAGAGGTATATATAGAAAGCAACTTTAAGACTAAACCAAAATAAGTACTACAAGTCAAGCTCTGGGCGTAGATAACACAGCTCCGGTAAACACTAAATCTTAAGAATTTTACCCGGCTATCAAGTTTATGTTCGCACTATTTTTAATCTTTTGTTTGTATTTGGATTTATTTGTTTGATTTCTTATATTTTTATGAATAGATCAGTCAACTCAGTGCCGTGGTCCATTGCATCGAGCTGTATTCGAGACGACGATCGATTATTGGGTCAGGCACATGAACAGCTATCTTTGAGTGTGGCCAAACAAAAAGATTTCATTCTGAGCACAGCACAACACGAATAAAAAAAAGTTGGTCAACATTGGCACGAAAAGAAATATAAAAAAAAATCAAAATAAACTGTAGAATTGGGAATTTGTGGAGACGCGCGCCGCGTGATGCCGTTAACGAACATTTGTGGCAACTGAAAACTGGGCAGACTGGTCAAAAGAGGCGGCTGGCGAGTTGCCAAGCGACTGACCATTTCACTCGCAGCCGAGCAGAACACCAGAGCACGGAGAGAGAGAATGAGAGATAGAGAGAGAGGGAGAGAGAGGGAGGGAGAGCGCGACTGGAAGTGAGTGAAAACTGCAGCGGGGCCAAGCGGAGCGTTAAGAGCAGAGTTGCCAGCCGCCGCTTTATAAGAAAAGTAGCTGAATACCATGCGAAATGTAGCTGGAAAAAAGCTGAAGTAGCCGCAAATTGGCTAATTAACGGCTTTAGAGAGTCAAAAAAAAATGTATATAGAAATAGAAATATTTTAAAATGCCCAAATTTAGCTCGAAAATAGCTGAATTGGCAGCACAGCTTAAAAGAAGAAACATGGCCATAAAAAAGCTAAAGAAGCCACAAATTGGCTAGTAAAAAAGAGCTAATTTACATAACAATTTTGCTGTTTTACTAAGCTCTTAAAGCAGCCAAATTTGGCTAAAAAAAAGGCTGAATTGGCAGCACTGCTTAAGAGAAGAAATATAGCCAGAAAAAAGCTGAAGTTGCCGCAAAATGGCTAGGAAAACAGAATTGATTCAAGTCTTAAAGTAGCCAAATTTGTCCAGAAAAAAGCTGAATTGGCAACGCAGTTTAAGAGACGAAATATAGCCGTTAAAAAGCTGAAGTAGCCGAAGTAGAGCTAATTCACATAAAAATGTTGCTGTTTCCGGCTACTAAGCTCTTAATCTAGCCAAATTTAGCTAGAAAATAGAAAAAATTGGCAGCACTGCTTAAGAGAAGCAACACCAAGAAACGAGTAGCGCACCAACAAAGTGGTTTTTCAACCCACCTGTGAGTGTGTGTGTGTGTGTGTGTGGCTAACTGTTTCATTCGGGCCAGCTCTCGGGCAGGTTCGGGTTTTGAGCCAAGTTTGGCATTCGACCAGTTTTCACGCATAAAACTGAATTAAATTAAAATAACTTAAGAGATGCATTCAAAGAAAAGCAGAAAAGCTGAAAAAGCTGCCAACTGATAAATGAATGCGCCGCATCGCATGAATGCGAATATGAATGTGAATGCGAATGCGAATGTGAATGTGAATGTGAATCGCAGTCGAGTTGCGCCGCAACGAGTATCACTCGCTGGACAGCTCGTCTAACACATATATGGTCACACTGACAGACTGAGACCCACTGAGCTTGAACCACGCGTGCAACTATGCGACTGCATTGCCAAAGAGCAAGAAGCGAAGAAGGGTGCGGGGCGAATCTGGCAGAGAAAATCAAAATAGACAGCGATTCGTAAAAGGATTCATAAGGCAGAAGCTTTCGTATGAAGGTCACGAGTACAACTTAGCTTTAAAAGCTTTCGGAGATAATGTAAAAGCTGTGCCAGAAAAGACTCCGAATTTAAAGTAGAACTCGATGAAAAGGGCAAATATTGACAGATGAAATAAAAATACACAGCGAATCGTAAAAGGATTCATAAGGCAGAAGCTTTGCTATGAAGGTCACAAGTACAACTTAGCTTTAAAAGCTTTCGGAGATAATGAAAAAGCTGTGCCAGAAAAGACTCCGAATTTAAGGTAGAACTCGATGAAGGGGGCAAAAAAGAGAACAAAATAATACAAGACTACTTTAGTCGGGCGTCTATATAGGAAATTCATTATTGATGAAGTTCGGTGCTTATAGTCCGATCTTAATGAATTTTTCTAGGATTACGCATGGCGTATCCCTTCAATAATTAGTTGTATAAATTTAATCTTATATATATATATACGAGAGCCTACATAACAAGCTGGGTTTATCTAGCTCTTATAATTCTCGAGATATATTTAAATCATATTATATTAAACCGTCGATATTATAAAATGGGAGAATATCTCGAAAAAATGATAAACTAGTTCAAGGTATGATAGCCAAGAATATGTACATGCATTTGGAAGTATTTGGCTTTTAAAGTTTCCAAAGATCGATGTGATATGGATGGAAATCGGCTCAGCTTAGCGTCCAGCAAGAATATATATACTTTATTTGGGGCAAAGGAGCTGCTTGCTCCTGTTTGTCGCATACATTTATATTAACCCATTTTTAATGATCGAAGAGTGTAAAAGGTTTTCTTTAAGACTGTTGAATTTTGAACTAATTATTGAATCTGATATTTGTTCTATCGAAGTTTTAGAAACAACATTTAAATTAAATCAAAAATAATTCCACTTTAAAATTTAAAGTATCGTAAAATTAAGCCTCCAGAAAATCATTTGACATTTACTTCGAGTTAATTATAGTCCCAATTGTTGCCCATTGGCTAAGCAAGCTTTAAGCTGATACAAAATACTTTGAGAAATAAGATAAAAGCTTTTGCTTTCTCGTAAAGCCTATTTAATGAATGGCGATAGCTTAAAGCTCTCACGTTTTTAGAAGCGCACATTGGCTAAGTGAGCTTTAAGCTGATACAAAATACTTTGAAAAATGGATTAAAGCATTTGCTTTCTCTTAAAGCTTATTCAATTGATGGCGATAGCTTAAAGCTCTTACGTATTCAGAAGCGCCCATTGCCTAAGTGAGCTTTAAGCTGATACAAAACATAAATTGATAAATGGATTAAAGCTTTCGCTTTCTCTTAAAGCTTAGTCCATTTCTAATAGCTTAAAGCTCTCTTATAATCCGAAGCGCCCACACGCAAATGATGATAACAGTTAAATAGAGAAACAAGCTCGGGAAGCATGACAAAAAGAAGAGATAAATAAATGGAGAAAGAAACTTAAAGAGAAGTAAAACGGTAAAAGGCAGATTATTGAGTGCCCCGTTAAGCCCCAGTTTGGTGAACTTCATTGGAAGATGAGACTGTTGACTGTGGACTATTAACTGTGGATGTGGTTGTGGTTGTGGACATGGGTTGGGACTCACCTTGCGGTACTCCTGGACAAATGCGGTGATCATCGTTTGGATGGCGGCGGCTCGTGTGGCATGGAGGGCCAGATGCTTGCCGTTGCGCAGATTGAGCTGCAGGGCGGCGGGCCGGGGCAGCGTGACGGCGTTCTGGATCTCGGCAAAGGATATGGCCTGTACAACGATCAGATAGTCGGCGTCGCGCCGTGCCAAATAGAGGCCGCTGTGGGAGACGCCCATGATGGAGACATCCGGATAGAGCGGTGCGCCCTGAACGGCAAACAGGCGGGCAAAGTACAGGGGCCAGTCGCGGGCCATGTCCACCAGATGACGTTTGACCAAAGCGCGCACCTGTTGCCCGCGGGCAGCCAACGTGTCCACGCTGACGCCATGGCCATGGAGCATATTTAGCGCCGCATTCTTCTCCTGCGGCGTGATGCGCAGACAGGGCGTCACGCCGAACACATCGCTGAGCACCTGGGCGAAGAGCAGATCGAGCGCCACGGGCGGACCGATTGGCTCGTGCGGCTGGAATACCTCCTTGCGCACCCGCAGTTTCCATGGCACGCGATTGTAGGTGAGGCAGGCGCTCGATCCGACGGCGCCGGCGCCGGTGCCAGCCGCTGAGCTGGCCGTAACGGCAGCTGCTGTCGCCGCCACGGTCGATGAGGATGTGGGCGTAACGGGCGGCGGCACAGGAGCCGGCACCACCACGGCCGACATGCTCGAGTCCAGTAGATCTTCACGCATGCCCGCCGAACTGGCGGAGCTCTTGCGCTTGCGCTCGTTCTCATACTTCTGGGCCATGTGCGTGCGGAACGTGGCCGGCGTCGAGGCCAAAGCATCTCGATCCCGCTCCCGCTCCCGATCTCTTTCTCTTTCTCGTTCCCTTTCTCGATCTCGATCTCGATCTCGTTCCCTTTCCCGATCTCGGTCCCTTTCCCTTTCCCGTTCTCGTTCTCGTTCCCTTTCGCGATTCAACTTGGCGCCTGTGGTGTCCAGGCTGGCCTGTATGACGCGCGGCGGCGCCGGCTGATAGACCTTGTGGCTCTCCTTCTCGCGCTCCACCTGGCGCAGCTCGTAGAGACGCTCGCGTTCGCGTTCGCGCTTCTCGCGCTCCTTCTCGCTGCCGCTGCCCGAGGCGGGGCCCTCGACCTCGGCGCGATCCCACACCGACTCCGAGTAGTCTTCCCGATCCCGCGAGCGACTGCGGCTGCGCGAGCGCTCCCGCTCCGTTTGCAGCTCCTGCTCCCAGGCGGCGGCCGCATGCTGCTCCTGCTGGTGGTGCAGCGAATGCTGTTGCTGCTGCTGCTGCTGGTGCTGGTGATGCTGCTGTTGGAGATGGTGCTGATGGTGGTGCAGTGACTGCTGCTGCTGGTGCTGGAGATGGTGCATTTGACGCACTGCACCGAAGGTGTCGCGCTCCTGGCGCTGTATAAAAGCGGGCACGTGCTCCTTGCGATAGTCTGGCTCCGGCTCGTCGGCATCGGGTGATCCGTGCTGCTGCTGCTGCTGCGCGGGCGGACTTTGTGGCGCCGGCGGCGGTGCAGGCGGCGCCATGCTGGGCGGCCTTATGGGCGGCGGTGGCGCCGGCACGCTGGGCGCCGGCGGCAGCAGCACGCCCGGCCAGGCGCTGCCCGGTGGAGCCGGCGGCGGCGATAGTTTGCCCTCCATGCGCTCGATCTGGGTGCGGACCGTGGCCAGGGACTCGACGGGCGGCGGATTGGCGCTGGCAAAGAGCCCGCCCAGCTGCTGCTGTAGCATCAGTTTGCGCGTGTCCTCCAGCTTGGCGGGAGCACGCTGCTCCGACTTATTGGAGACGGTGGAGCGCACCGAATGCCCGGCGGTCACCTGCTCGAGACGTTGGCGCATCTCCGAGCTGAGCTTCAGCTTGCCGACGCTGCCCGGTGGCGGGCGATCGGCGCCAATCTCGAAGCTCTTCTTGGCCAGCTTTGTGGCCATAATTGTGGTCGTTGTCGTCGTCGTCGTCGTCGTCTGCTGCTGCTGCTGCTGCTGCTGTTGGAGCTGATGCTGCTGCTGGAGCTGGAGCTGATGGTGGTGCAGCTGTGCCGCATCCTGTACATCCCTTCCGCCGCCATTCGTCTCCAGGCGCATGCTGCTGCGCATGAGCTGCATGACGGGCGGCGTCGGACTCTTGCAGGACTCAATCTCGAACTCCTCCCACTCGATGGCCGCGGCGGCGGCGGCGGCGGCGGCGCTGCTGCTGCTGCTGCCGGCATTATGCTGCGCCTGGGGCGTTGTCTTGCGCTGCTGCTGGCGCAGCTTGAAGGCAAAGAAGTCCTCCTCCGTTTGGAATTGCGGCTCGCCCTGCGGCGGCGGCCAGCGCCATTTGCCAATGCGCACCGTCTTGGCCCGGCCATAGGGATCCAGAAAGTGGCGCGTCTCCGACGGATCCTTGCTCTCCAGCGGTGGCGGCATCGGCGGCGGCGGCGGCGGCGCCGGCGGCTGCATCCCAGACGCTGCCTCCAGCACCAAACTGCTGCTTCTCGTCGTCGTCATCATGGTCGTCGTCTTCAAGCGCAGCGGCGTCTGAGCCGGCGGCGGCGAGATGCTGCCAATGATCGCAGCCGGAGGTGAGCCGCTGCCATTGCTGCCGCTCCCATTGTTGTTGTTGCTCCCATTGTTGTTGTTGTTGTTGTTGTTGTTGGCGCTGGCCTGCTGGCTGAGCAGGGTTTGGAGGGCCTGGTTCTGGGCCAGCAGCTGCTGTTGTATCTGTAGATTCTGCGCCATGGCCGACTGGAGAAAGGCGCGCTGCACCTGCTGCTGATAGAGAGCGGCAGGCGCGGCATCTGAATCGCCGCCGGGCAGCTGGATGAGCTGATGCAGCAGCGGATCGGCGGCGCCGGCTTGGCTGTGCTCCGTGCTGCCGCCGCCCTTGATGCAGGCCACCAGCTGCTGACGCGAGCCGAGCGTATCGAGTGTCTCGTCCAAAGGCAACAGCTCGCCCACAAACTGTTCAAGATTGTCAGCTTGAGCAGGATTAGCTCTCTGGGCGCCGCCACCGCCGCCGCCTCGTATGCTGGCGGCCAGGGAGCGCGCATCGGAGAGCTCGTCCAGTGAGCCATCGAGCACGGGGCTAAACAGATCGTCGAGAAACTGATCGACGTCGGAGGCCTGCGAGGGGACGCGCACGCGCCGCACATGGGAGGCCAGCGAGGGCGCCTCGCTGGTGTCCGACATGGCCGAGGAGCGTGTCGCATATTCCGACTTGTCCATGTTGTATTTGCTGCTGTGCGCGGAGCCGTGCGATGCGGCATGCGAACGCCGTCCGGCATTCTGGGATTTCTGATAGCGCGGCGCCGACTCCTTGCCCATCGGCGCCAGCCGCTCCGCCGAATGGTAGCGATCGTTCAGCCTGCTCTCGGACAGACCCAAGGCGAGCGTGTGCAGCGGCGACTCCTGCGAATCGCTGTCGGGCAGCGGCAGCTGCTGACTGCCCATATCCCCGGCCAGCAGATCGTCCAGCGACTTGGAGCGCGACTTGGACTGCGCCCCGGGCAGCAGATGCGGCGTTATGGGCTCCTCGGTCCGTTCGAAATAGCGCTCGTTCAGCGCCGAGCTGCGTGACAGCAGCTCCCGACTGCTGCGTCGCTGCGGCTGAGCCGGCTCCGGCTCCATGTCCCGCTCCCTATCCCTCTCCCGCTCCCGATCCCGCTGCTGCTTGCTGGCGGCGGCGGCGGCGGCGGCGGCGGACGTTGTGGGTGGCGCCGGCGGTGGCACGCCCGGACGCTTGACGGCCTCGGGCAGGCTAGTGCGCGTGAATTTTGCGCCGGAGCGCAAAAGGTCGCTGCGCGGCGCTGGGAAGGCGGGGCACAGCTCCTTCTCGGCAATCAGATCCATGACATAGTCGAGCCCGCAGCTGTCCGTCAGCTGCTGGCCATCGTCCAGCACCAGGGTCCAGCCGCGGCTGGCCACGCCCAGCGTGGAAACGGCCAAAGCGGCGGCCTCCTCGCAACTGGTCCAGGAATCGACGGCCACCGTCTGGCTGGCCTCATCGGGCAGTGTGAGCGGCAAGGCCATGTCGCAACCACGGGCCCAGGCGCGCCACTCCAGCCAGGCGGGCACGAAGCTGCGACAATTGGCAGCGGCGCCGGTTGAGCTGCTCTGCTGGCGCAGCAGCTGGCGCTGGAGCAGCTGGCGCGTGGCCGTCGCCGGCGCCTCGTCCGTGACAAACTTGAGCAGATACTTGCTAAACGCCGGACTCGGCTGGAAGCAGCACAGGCACTGGCCGAGCAGCTGCCAGAGGCGTGTGGCCAGAGCGGGTTCGGCGCCGTGCAGCTGATTGCAGAGCTGGACGAGAATCTCGTCGCGCAGGCCGCGCGAGCTGAGCGCCTTGTGCACAATATAGTCGGAGAGCAGCTTCTCCTTGGCGCCCTCGCCCTCCAGCGCCTTGTCGTTGCTCCAGCGCAGTATGAGCTTGAAGACGGCGAGGGCATCCTGAAAGTCCTGATCCCGGGAGGCGGCGCGCGTCAACAGGGGCGCCGCAATTGGCTCGCGGCGCGGCTGCAGCCGCAGCCCGTTGCAATAGACGCTGCTGAACTTGCCAAAGCTAAACTGGCCCAGATCCGACGGCAGCTGTGCACTGGCCGCGGGCGGGCCGGGCACCGTGCCCAGCACCTTGACCAGATGCCGATCGCTGTGCGGCGGCGTCCAGCCCTGCAGCTTCGAATAGATGAACGCCAGCTCGGCGGGTATGTCCAGATAGCTGAGCTGGCTGCGCTCCAGCACCGCCTGCTTGGCCTCGCGCGCCTCCCGCGCCCGCTGCGCCGCCTCGCGCGCCTCTTGCCGCCGGCGATGATCGGAGCGCAGCTGCTGGACGCGACGCCGCGCCATCTTGCCGCGCCACAGCCGCTGGGCGGTGCGCACGCCCCGTCGCAGCTGCTCGTACCGCAGCTGCTGGCGCTGGCCGCGCCAACGTGCCTGCAGACGGATGGCCGCCGACTGGCGTCGGGCCAGCTGGCGGCGCACCAGCATGCCGCGCACATGCCGCTGTATATGGACGGCGGCCTGGCGCAGACGTTCGGTGCGTCCGCTCTCGAGTGCGCGATGCAGTGCCTCGCGTAGGAAGACGCGCGTGGCGCCCAGCTGATAGTCGGGTCCCTCGACGCCGGTGCGCGGCATCGCCTCCAGCAGCAGGCGGCAGAGCTCGCGATAGGGCGTGCCGCGGGCAAGCGGCGCGCTCAACAGATGGCGATAGCGCTCGACAAAGTGCTGGAAGCGCAGACGCACCGGATAGCCGCGCTGGCGTATCTGTATGGTGTCCAGCATGCCCAGATAGCGCAGCTGCTGCAGGACACAGGGCATGTCCATGCGCAGCGGCTGCTTCTCCTGATTGGGCTTGATGCAGCGCACAAACCACGGATGACAGCGGCCCATCGACTGCAGCAGCTGCTGCAGTGAGTCCGCAAAGCGGGCGGCCACCGTCGGCGTGCGCGGCTTCATGGTGACAAAGCGTCCGTTACTGCCCTTGGGCAGGGTCTTGCCGGCATCGCGTTGGGCCCGCAGCTGCTTGGTCAGCTCGCTGACCAGGGGCAGCCGGCTGGTGGCCAGCAGCTCGAGCACATCGCTGCGCAGCGCATCCCGATTCTTGTCCAGAAAACCATCAACGCAATACCACACCTGGCCGGCATAGTGTGTAACGCCGAACTCCTGGGCGCCAATGCGCGGCCGGGCGTACAGTTCGCTGAGCGCGTGATTATAGTGGCACTTCTCGAGGAAACTCAGATCGGTGGCACGCGGAAAATTTGACTCGTCGTCGAGCAGATGACAAATGCCGACCGGTTTCTTGGCCAGCAGATGGATCACCGGCAAATTATCGTCCCAGGCGAGAGGCGTCCACTCGAGACGCTCCCGAGCATACTCGGCCTGCTCGAGCTTGAAGACGTGCTTGTTGAAATACAGCTGCAGATTCTCGTTGGCATAGTTGATGCACAGCTGCTCGAAGCTGTTCTCGGCCAGATCCTCGAAGCCGAAGATGTCCAGGATGCTGATGCGATGGGCGTCATGGGTGCCGCCCTTCTGCACAATCGAATTGATGCGCGAGACGAGCCAATTGAAGAGGCCCGCATAGAGAGCCTTGGCGAACGCATCGCGGGCATCCAGCGCCTGATCGATGCCGAGCGGCGTGTGGAGGCGCTCGGCTCGCGCCTCGGTCGTCCGGCTGGTCAGCGCTCGGTGCATGCCCTCGGCGCTGATGTGCAGCAGATGGGCGGCCCATTTGATTTCGGCATCGGAGCCAATCTCGACGCCCTCCTGGCCGTGACGCAGCTGCCGGCGATGGAAGTACACGTTGCCCAGATGCAGCACGGCCGCTAGCACACGGACAATGCCCTCGCGTTCGCCCTCGGTGACACCGAGCACCTGCATGGCGCTCAGCAGGGAGGCCCAGTCGACCCGACCGCTGGCACAGTCCGTCGCGCCCTGGTTCAAATAGAAGTACTTGTCCGCCTCGAGCAGACCATATTTGGCGCGCTCCGATTCGCTCAGGCCGCCGAGCATCTCGTAGAAGACATGATAGTTGCGCTCGCCGGGCGCCTGGGTGACAATGCGCGACTTCTCCAGCAGATATTGGGTTATCTTGGCGCCGACAATGGCGCCGCTCTTAAAGTAGACCTCCAGATACTTGCCGAACCGGGAGCTGTTGTCGTTGCGTGCGGTCCGCGCATTGCCGAAGGCCTCCAGCAGCGGCGCCGCCTCCAGTATCTGCTCCGTGATGACAGCCGAGGCACTGCCGCCGCCCGGCACCACCGCCGCCAGATATTGCATTACGAGTTTGGTGGACTCCGTTTTGCCGGAGCCCGACTCCCCCGATATGACGACCACCTGGGGTGAGGGCAGTGCTGCATGCGCCGCCGCTCCAATGGCAAACAGATGCGGCGGCAGAGCGCCCAGCGGACGGCCCGCGTACTGCTTGGCCACCTCCAGGCCGTAGGCGTCGGGGAACATCTTGTAGGGATTGACCGCGATCAAAATGCTGCCCGCGAACGTGTAGATGAGCCCCTTGTCGTAGCGCAGTCGCAGATTCCACAGCAGCGACGCCTCGTGCAGATCGTCCAGCAGGGTCATGTCCTCCACTCCGCTGCTGCCCAAATCCTGACGCGCCCGCAGGCTGCCCTCGCCCGGCTGCAGGGCAAACGTTTGTGCCTGTGACGCAAAAGAGATTCAATTAGTTCAGTTCAAGCTGATCGTTCCAATTGTGTTTGGATTGCGGGCTTAAGACACGTCAACCTATCGCAACGATAGAAGGAAACCCTTTGCAACGCATCAACCCATCAAGTGAATGAGTTCCATGTCTGTCGGTCCCTCTGCCTGTTCCTATACAAATTCGTCTGTCAGCATCAAAGAGTAAGACAAATTATACTATCGCAACGATGGAAGGAATCCTTTTGCAACCCAACAAGTGAATAAGTTCTTTCGATAAAGTCCATCCACGTCCGTCCGTCGGTCTGCCGACTCGTCTCTCAATAACAAAACCCACTTAATGAAACTTCGCCTAGACCCATCGGATAAATCGTGGTGTGGTTATTCGACAACCCGAGGATGCGTACACTCCCCCAATGCTTTTCTCAGCTGAGAATCTTAGATTAGGTCAACTGCGTTTGATTGGGAAAGAGGAGCATGTGTCTGGTCTAAGGAGTTTAACATTCCGTATACGACAAGCACTTTTTATTATCTCTCTTGTCCATTCTATACTTGAGTTTGGGATTAGGTCTCGGGTAACCCATATTCTATATTTCAAGCTGGTATTCTTGTGGTCGGTTGTTTTTTTGGGAATAGGATAGTCTCCATTTGCGGACTTGGTTTGCATTCTATTCTTGCGTTTGGTTCAGGTCTCTGGTAGTCACATATTCCATTCATCAAGCTGGGATTCTTGTGGTAGGTTTTTTTTTTGGCAGCAAAGTCTTCATTTGCGGGCTTGGTTTGCTTTCGTTTCGTACGGAATTTAAACCATCTCATATACTCCACATGGAAAGCCAGGTCTATCAATTGCAGACGGCTTAACCAGACAGCTTCTTCCAGACAGTCCGTGCTTTTCAGGATTGTTCATCCAAGGGAAGAGATTATTCCACCTTCTAATAAATGCAGATCAGTCTCATTGAAGGTCTTGCCTGCTTTCCCACCTTATGCCCACAGCTCAAACCAGGAAGATAGAGAATACATGCAACGAAAACACGCTCTATAGAACCCTCTTCTTCCGATGGAAGAGATTGTTCAGCCTTCTAATAAATACAGGTCAGCTTCATCGAAGTTCCATCTTCCATAACTTCCATGGAAGCGGCCGCAATTTATGACACTTGATAAGTCTAACCTAACTGGTCTTTTAGCTTGGATTATATTTGGATAAGTCCGGCTGGGAATAAAAGCTGAGAGAAAGACCTAATCGATTTTATGAGAATATCGAATTGAGAACCGAACAAGTCGACAACTTGTGACAGGATTTAGTTGGGTATGCGGTTTGGCTTGGCTCACATGGCGGGCTATCACATCGCTGCAGAGCGTCGAGAGCCGCTTGACCACCTGAGGATAGCGGCACTTGAGGCGACGCTGGCGACGCAGCAGCAGCTGCTGCTGTTGCTGTGGCGACTGCTGGGCAAAGATTTCGTCCAGATCCTCGAGACTAGCTGGCCGCTGGCGGCGCAGCACGTGCGGCGAGAGCAGCGCCAGCGACGGCGACTGGGCCGGACTGGGCGTCACTGAGCCGCAGCCGCTGCCCCGCTGCCACGGCTCCAGGTGGAAGCGTACGATGCGCATCTAACGGTACTAGCCGAGAACCAAGAACCGAACCGAACCGAACCGAACCGAGATTCGACGCGGAAAAACCGGACGTTAACCAAAAACAACAATGGCGCCGGAGACTTTGTTGGCCGCCGTCTCGAATGCAACTGAAAGGAGTCAAGCGGAGCTGGGCCAATAGCCGAGACATTGCCACAGTTTTCCCCCAGTATGCGTTTTTCCCTGCCCCCCTCCTGTCCACCTGGCCGCCCCTCTGCTCAAGCGCCTAAACGTTTTCTTAAGGCAATCGATTGAAACACGTTTCTGTGTCTATTTCGGCCGAAAGTGGGGGTAGCACGCGGCCCAAAGATGACACTCCTCCCGGCTAACTGGCTGGCAGACGGGCAGCCAGTTTTGGAGAGCGAGAGAACAACGGGAAACGGTAGACAAGACTTGCGCAAGAGAAACCTGTCGCATGGCTTTGACTTTGATCTCGCGCTGCCCGATCTTTGTGATCTCAATTCAATTAAGAGAAGAACAACTCTCTCTCCCTCTCTCTATCTTTCGCGAGAGAGCGCCACTTTCTCCGAGCCAAGCCAGAAACAGTTCAAGTCTTGCATTCTTGGTCTTTTAAATCCGCTGCAGCAACGCGTGCAGCGTATCGATTATTATAATCGATTATTATAATCGATAGTGCCCGAAATTGATCGACTGATCAAAATAAAAGTTGCGAGAAAACTCGCATGCTAAGGCCTTTATCCTATCGAATAATCGATAACCAAATTATCAAATAGGTGTAGATTAATTTGCTAGATAGCTGAAAGAGTATACTTTAATTTTCGACATTTGTCGAATATTCGATTAGCTTAATAGTGAATCTGAATAGAATGAATATTTGTTTGTGTGTAAATCGATAAATCGATTAATTGGCAAGCATTATTATCAACGACAACCTTTACCTCTTGTGCCTTGGATTAATCGACTAATTGATTGATTTATAAGCTTGCCATAAGCAGCTTGCATTAATTGAAATATCTATTGAATTCAAAACTATCCGATAAGCTTTGATTAAAACAAAGCTCTAAGGTCAAATGAAATGAATAATAGCTTTCTAATAATATATTAGAATTAATCGACTAATCGATTGATTTACAAGCTTAGCTTTTAAAAGGATGATGCAGCTTGCGCTAATCGAAATATTGATTGAATTAAAAATTATCCGATAAGCTTTGTGAAAACAATTAAAACATGGTTGAATTTTACTTAAATGATAGTTTTCTAATAATATATCGATATATAGCTTTTTATCTCATTGCGTTAGCTAAACTGATTAAATATTTAAAACAGAAAAGATGGCCCAAAATTTGAGCTTAAGCAAAACGTAATTCTTTCATTTAAGCGCAATTAAGCTCGCTCAAAGCTTTCAGGCGCTTTCAAAGCTCCTCTCGCACAGCTAATTAGTTCAATGTAAGTAAAATTGAGCTCGCTAAAAGCTTTCAGGCGCTTGCAAAGCTCCTCTCGCGCAGCTAATTGCCGGTCTGGCTTACGCAGGGGGCATGTCCCAGTTCATGTTTCCCAACTGAAACGTTTTTTCTTGTGGCTAACTGGCCAACAAGTTGTCAGACGATGCCAATTGAACAGGATACACTGAATACTGGTTGCGAGCAGTGTTGACCATTTCAGCTCTATTCTGGCTAAATTCAGCTACAGGCAGAGGTCAGCAGCCGGAAACTGCTGACATTTGCAGTTGCCTGCCAATTCTGGCTACTTTTGAAGGGATTTAGCTATTCTTTTTAGCTTTTTAACTTTAACATTTGTTGCCGAATGCAGTATTTTAGCTTATGGACCAATTCAGCTATTTACAGCTACTTTTAGCACTTTTTTTAAGCAACAGCTGGCAACCCTGGCGACAAGTAGAAGCATGCGAGCCAGTTTGGGGATTTGTATTCTTGATTTCTTTGCTGGCGCTTAGGGGGCAACAACTGCAACTGAAACTGGCAACTGGCAGCGGCAACGGCATCGGCATCGGTAACTGTTACCAGTTATTAGCCAAAGCCGCTGGCTGAGTGACTCTTGCTGCCGTTGACTGGCAGGCTTAATTGCAAAGGAAAAAGGAAACGGAGTCAGAAGAAGTCGCTGCCGGCGCTGGGCAATTAGAGAGCCGGCGACTGGCTCGGTCGATCGGAGCAGCATACAAAACACTTCCGTTGCAGCACGAAATTGGCCACCAGTTGCCTGCCAAGTGGACAGTGGCCAGTGGACAGTCGCCAGTGGCCAGCGGCATGTGATGAATACCAAGTTTTGCCAACTGCCAAAAACAAAAGCGATTTGCCCAGTTGCCGCATTGTCATCTATTTCTTTTCGCTGACAGGTGAAAATAGTGAAAAGCTGTCATAAAAAAAGCTGCTGGCCCTTGGCGACTGCGAACAAAAAGATATGCTCGACCAGGAGATACCCTGCTTTTATGACTATGCTTTTCTTTACCCACTATCCCACATTTATTCCATTTATTCTCGTGTAATTTTCTAAGTCCGGAATCGAAACACTGACTGCCAAAAGTTAGTGCCACAAAAAATGTATGCTCGACTCGAAAATACCCTGCTTTGATATCTGTGCTTTTCTCTACTCACTATCCAACATTTAATCTATTCTAAATAAATTCTTTAAATATTTTCGTGCAAAAGTAAGTGCCTAAAGAAATGTATGCTCGGCCAGCAGATACCCTGCTTTTATGTGCCTTTCTCTTTCCCTTAGATTTCCACTATCCAACATTTGTTCCATTCCAAATACAATCTTTAAAGATTTTCGTGTAATTTTCTTTCTGTCCGCAATCGAAACACTGACTGCCAAAAGTTAGCACTCACCTTGCCCTTGATCATGGCCTGGACGACAATCACTTGAGCTGCGCGATGCACCTCCTGAATCTCGCCGGGTATGGGATGACCCACGCCCGGATCGAACCACACCAGATCGCCTTCGGCCCAGTCCATCGCGTCCAACTTGGATCTAACCCGTATGCGTTCAGTAGATCAGCTCCAACTTTTCCAGCGAACTATTTGCAATTATTAATAATTTGTCTTTCTTCTGCAAGCGCTGAGCGGGAGCAAGTACAGGGGAATTGTGGGGCTGGCAAAACTTCAAGCTGCCGGCTGATGCATTGCTGTAAATAAAAATTAATAATTAAAAAACATTTGATTAGTCAAGACTTTGATTCACACAGAAAAAAGCTGAGCCACAAAAATATAAAAAAAAAAAAACAGCAGACCATAAAAAATGCACGTAATTATTTCGCCTCTCTATAAAAAAGTCGCTGCCTTTGGCTTATCAGAGACCTCGCTCGCCTCCCTTCACCCGACACAGGTGATTGTCATTGTCACTCGCAGGTGTGCGTGTGTGTGTATGTGTGTGTGTGTGTTTGAGACAGGAGACAAAGTTGTCAACGTTTAGGAGGGGGGCAGACGGCTGAAGGCCGTGCACTGCCTGCGCTCATTGAATGAAAGTACGTTTTTTTTATCTTTTCTTTTCACTTTGCTTTCCAGCTTATTATTACAATTATTATTTGTATTTTTTTGTTGTTGTTGTTTTTTTTTTTCTCCTTTTGAAATGCAATCAAACGCAACCGCAAAGTTCATACGTTTTGACAGCAACAATTGTTTAGCCAGCAGCGCCTCGATTCAAAAGGTCAGACGATTAAAGATGCATCTGGTAATGTATAAATGGGCATTCCAGATCCAGTAGAAACTTGACGAAGCGAGAAAGAGGGGGTATCTGCGGCACACCGAAGATTTAATACCCTTGCAGAGCGAACCTTTTCATAAAGCTTTGCCCGTGTCTAAGAAGCACAGGGAAAATAATTAAATGCCGAGTATGGATAAATAAAAAAGTTGTTCATGCAAGAACCTTATTTCCGATCGATCGTTCCTATGACAGCTATATGATTTAGTGGTCCGATGTAAATAAGACTTTGCACAAATGTAGGGAACATAGTAAAACTTATAAATGGCGAGTTTGGTCAAGATATTTTGAAAAACAAAAAAGTTTTCCATACAACAACTTAATTTTCAACCAATCGTTCCAATGGCAGCTATATGATATAGTGGTCCGATGTTGATAGGATTTTGCAAATATAAGAGTAGCATAGTAAAACTAATAAATGTCGAGTTTGGTCAAGATATCTTGATAAGCAAAAAAGTTTTTCATACAAGAACCTACTTTTCGACCGAACGTTCCTATGGCAGTTGTATTATATAGTGGTTCGATCCAGCTGGTTCCGACATATATACTGCGTGCAACAGTAAGAGGGACTTCTGCAAGTTTTATGACGATAGCTTTGAAACTGAGAGACAAGTTCGTATATAAACAGACAGACAGACGGACATCCTTAAATCGACTCGGCTGTTGAATCTGATCAAGAACGAATTATAATACCGTCTGCAAGGGTTAAAAAAGTAAGTGTGCTCTTCCTCAACCAACAGCAAATTAAAGATATTTGATCTGTTTATACTATTCCAGAAGCTACAAAATTTGGCGACTCTAGCTCTAAAAATCTAAGAGATTTGCTCAAAAAACAGAATTCCGATAACGATTCTTATCGTTTGCTGGGCAACGGGGCAATTTATCGATTTTCGTAAAACAAACTCGTACTACGTTCAAAATTTCATCATCATACCCTTTTTATACATTTTCAAAGGGATCAGCGTATAAGCAGTAAGACTGCTCGACTGGGAGATACCCTATACGCAGCAACAAGCTGCCGGTAAAAATATTCTTTCTTCAATTTGTTTTATTTTGCGCTGAAATCGATCAGTACCTTCTTATCTCTACCAAGCGAATTAATGAGGCAAGAATATTCTAGCTTCTTTCTATCAAGGGCATAAGCAAAAAATAAACATACGCATGTCCCATACTTTATATGGCAGCTTCTTGACGAACTTCGATGTTGAAAGAAGTCTATTGTGAGTCCAATTTTGTGGTACGTAGAGCGGCATTAAAGTTATAGTCGAGCTCAGGTGCCTCTCTCTAATTGGCCTAGAGTCCTGCTGTGAGTTTCTGTGGTAGCATCCTTTCTCTGGAAGAGGATTAAGAGAACCTCTGTTGATCTAGCAAGCGACTACAAGTGGTAGTCTTTGATCTATAGAACTAGAAATCTTCAAAGAGCTGACAGCTAGTTGCCTACACAGTCAAGTCTTCACATAATGCGGCTGTACCCCGACTTAGACTCTGGCTGTGCTTGAAGAAAGGTAGAACAACAACTATGGACATCAAAAACAATGTGACCTAAGGATACGTTATAGCCAGGAAGAAGGATGCGTCTTATACAAGGAGGTCGCATCTGGGCAAAGAGTTTGTCTCTAGAGCTCATGGCACTGCATCAGGCAGAGACTCCCCCTACAATTGTATTAGTTACATTATTTTTATTTTATTATATTATATTAGTGAGAGAAAATCCTCGAATTTACATATTTATGAAGCACAAGACAAATCCGTTTGTTCGTTGCCGCTTCTGAAAATAACTTTCCACAGAGCTGTTTTTTTTTTTTTTTGAGAATTCGCTTTCACCTTCAGTTCTTTTCAGAATCTCTCAAATTTCAGCATTTGGCCCAGATGCAAAAAAATGTAAAACAAAAAAAATGCATAATTAAAAGCGTAGAAGAAGAAGAAAAACATTTGATTAAAATTGATTTGATGAACAAAGCGCCAAAAGATGAGAATTCGGCTTTAAATTTGGAAATTGTTGGCAAAATTCATAAATAAATAATATGAAAAATGCGGCCGCCCAAAAAAAATGCTGGTCAAGAATATTAAGCAGCCATGGCCAAAAGCGAGACACACACACATTTGTTGTTGTTGTTGTTTGTTGTTGTTGTTATTTGTTGTTGTTGTTGTTTGTTGTGATTGTTGCGCGGTGGCTGATTACCATTGGCGAGACAAACTTTCACCTGTTTAGCGGCAAAAGCCTTTAACATAAATATTTATGCCCAAAAAAAAAAAAAAAAAAATATGACAAGTTACAACAACAGCAAGAAAAGCGGTTGTTGTTGTTGTTGTAATTTTATTCATGTGGCAAAGAAATGCGCGCACTCGCACTGAATTTGGCTTGGGATTTGGAATTGGCTTTGGCTTTGGGTTTGGCTTTGGGCTTGGGTTTGGCTTGAGCTTCGCTTTTGGTGTAGGCCAACAAATTCGTGCTAAATGGCTGGACAAGTGCTTACGAATTGACAAAGTCAATACAAAGGCGGGTGTGTGTGGGGTTGGTGTTGCGAGAGACAACTCGTTTAGCGCGCCGCATTTAACAAGATAAAACAAGTAAGCGCAATGTCGTAACCGACTTGCAGATACCCTGAACCCAAAGCGAATGTTGTGATAACAAGCCTTGCAGCTGCCTTCTTTGCATAGAAAAAACAGCTGTGCTTCGTTTAGCCTTCGTCCCGAACTATTTATGGAAAAGAAATTCCCAATTAACTTTGGTGTCTACGAAATCGAAATCTAAATCTAGCATACAAAGGTGACATACCAAGGAACAAGGCTCTACATTTAAGAATATTATTATTTTATTTATTATATAATATTTAATATCTAATATTAAAAAATTATAATTTTTTTTATTATTTATTATTCATTGCTTATTATTTATTATTTATTTTTTTACTATCAATTATATATTATCAATTATTATAATAATATTTTATTTAACATTTTTTTTATTATTTTATTATTTACTGTTTATTATTTAATATTTTTTATTTAATATTTAATATTTATTATTTCCCAATTCTGTGTAAAATATGAGAAGGAATCCAGCAAATGAAAAACTTCCAAGTTGTGTATCTAGATATCAAATTGGGTGCATCTAGCTCTTCAAATTCTCGAGCTATGCTTTAAAGAGAATATAGATTTTAAATTCCAAGTCTTTAGGCACAGACAAACAGACGAACAGACCAGGCTAGATCAGCTCAGCTCGGGATGGGAGATATTTTCTTCTGCGTGTTGCATACAGTAACGCGAAAACCTTATACCCTTCCAGGGTATAAAAGCGCGCACCAAGTACCTGTGAGATGGGCCCCGTGTTCAATGTGGCAGCTACCGCTCATTCATTCATTCATTCAACCAGTTAGTCAGTCAGTCAGTGAGTCAGTTTCGATCGCTCGCTCTCGCTCTCTCACGCACACCAACAGAGTGTCTCTCTTTTGGGCTCTACGACAAATAACAAATCTTGGCTTGGCAACGAGTCGAGTTCGACCGCATTCCAATGCTAAGACGTCGCTGTCCGAGCGCTTGCCTGCAGCCGCCATCGATGTGGATGTGGATGTTGATGTCGATGTCTATGCTACAACAGCAACAAGCACAGCTCGTAGAATAAAAACAATTTAATGGAGGTTTTCATGTGTAATCAATGAGCGGCAGCTGTGCAACATTTGCAAATTGAGTGTGAACAAAAAATGAAAATACAAGAATCCAAAGAATGCCAAAACAAAACGAGAAAACGAGAAAAAAATCTTTTGAAAAACAGGTAAAATAAACGCGTTGAACTTTTAAAATGATTGAAGTGCAATATATTGTTATGCAATTAATAACTATTAATAAGTATGACACATTATTCATCGCATCATATCTTAACATTATCCAGCTACGAACAAGTTCACAGTCGAAATGTTCGTTCAAGTTCAATTAATATCTAAAACCTTTTATATATCTTCATTGTATGCCCTAGCTAGGTTCAAAATTGATCAACTGAACCACTTTGAACTAGTTCACAGACTTGGCAAATGTACCTGATGCTCACATCTTTACTTGCAGCACTTTTGTGAGCTATTCTTAAGCCGGGCGTAAATCAAATGAATATTCTTTCTACATTCGGAAAAGATTTACAATTCATTGTGAACCAGTTCCAGTTCCAGTTCCAGTTGCAGCGACTTTTCACATATCTTTGAAAATGCAAATGAGGGCGTTGCCTGATGCTAAGCACTTTGAACTTTGACTAACTGCGTCGGCTGACCTGGCTAAGCAACATGTTGCCCGGGTTCAAGGTTTTCAGTTGGGATCAAAAATGTCTTGCCCCCCCTCCCCCTTCCTTCTCCACACATTTCCCCCTCTTTATCTGCCTATAATCTGGTTAGGTGTAGCCAGTTAAGATGTGTTGCCCAAAAAGTTCGTTGTTCA